TAACATATCACAAAGCCCATATGTTGTCAACTTTCTACTGGCAGCAAAGCTTTGTGCGATCTTTGTGACACGAGTTTTTTGTCTTCTAGTCACTCTTCCAGAGGAAACTTTACAGTAAATTGTGATAGATTGCAACAAATTTGTTTTTGAAACAGAAGATTATTTGTTGTAGTATAAATTATCTGAGGTCCCTTCTTGCTTTCTTGTCGCTAATGAAAAATTAATTTATGATTTATATAAAGAGTCTGTTTTCGAATGTTGCGGCCAAACGTAAAGATGGAGTTCCATAATGGCATCAGATCGCATTAGATGTGCATTCACCCAGACTTAGTCCTTAAACATACCCTCCACCAGACTTAGCTCCTGCCCGCCACTCCATTTGCCACCAGCTCGCTGTCGGTCCTCATCAGCGGCCTCCTGATAGGCGCAGGGTCACCCCTCCCTAATGCCAGTACAGCTCAGTGCCGCTGAACCCGACTGAAGATGATGATGAACTTTTTAGTTCTACCCCCTCCTTTTGCCTTTCACTTCCCCCCCCCCTTTCATCCCCTCTTCTTTTTCTGCCTCTCGTTTGCTCCCTCTTCACGCGACCCGCGGCCCACATGCTGTGCGAGCAGGCGCGCCAGACTAGAGAGGAGTATGTTTGTTGTCGTTAGAAAGGTGAGGTCGGCGAGGTAAAAGTATAAAGTCTTGTGAGTGGAGGGGGAGGGGGCGTGTTGAGGGGGAGCCTGCGAAGGGAGGCGGGCGCTGCTGCTCTGCGATGGAAAAGTTGTATCGTTTAGCAGAAGGTATCGCGAGGGCGCGCGCCCGACCTCTTTGGCCCGTGTGCCAAAGTTTTGGCACGCGGATCGCATTATATTCTACTTCTAGTCTATATCAGGGGTGCGGGCGGCGCGGCACGCGGTGGCTCGGGGCGGGACCCCGCCGCTGGTGCTGCTGCTGCTGCTGCAGTCGGTTTGCTACTAAAATTGTTTGCAAAACTTATCCTCGCGGAATGGCGACGCGAAAAGACCGCGCCGTGCGCTTCGGTGGCCCGGGCGCAAGTGTGGCTGCGTGCGCGCTGGCCGCCGACTGGTCGGGGCACAGGGAAACATTTCATCTCCTTGCGGAGAGACAGCCTTAAAATGGACCCGCAGACGGGGCTGGCGGGGC